TTTATATATACCAATCCTGACACAGTGCATTATATTATTATGGACACATAATAGTTGCGGACGAATTATTCAGGTCAGGAATATTATAACATAACAATTGCGGATACGAGTTTCGTTGTCATAATACTAATTGCGTACAGAGCTTTTTTTAATAAAAACCACATTAGTTGTGGACACAACTTCACCACTTTTTCAGGACTTAGGACAAGCTACCAAAAAAATTGGTAGGTGGGGTTGAAAATATTTGTGTCTTGCAAAAGAGCAATCGTTATTTTTAAAATGTTGTTGAATTATTTATTGTTTTAATTTTGTGGAAAAAATTGTTTATAAAGTATTTATAGATTATCGTCATTATTTATTGTCATAGTTTTTAATGTTTTTATAGATCTTGTGGTAACAATTTTTTTGAAACCGCCTGTATATATGATATTCTATTGATTTCACCACGTGAATATTGCAACATTTGTTTTCTAATAAATAACTCCTTTTCAATAGTATTTTTTGCTCGTTTTAAATTGCATACAGCAGAGCAATTCATTTTCATATAGCTACTAGTCTGTACTTCATTTAAGGTCTCGATCAATTGATATATGTTAGGGTGATTAAATTTTAAAAATGCAGTACACCTTTTATTTGTACCCACCTACCGTTGAATTTCATTTTTCATTATGCGATGAAAATGGAACTTAAACCCGTAAATCACATGTAACTCTTTAAGTTTTTCAGTATACATTTTTATACAGAAAATAAACGAACATCAAACGAACAGCAAGCGAGTATGGTTGTCGATAAACTGATTAAACATAGGCAGCGGTTTCAAAAGCACCGGCACAATCTTAATCGTTAATATCAAACAGTAATTTCCCAACGTCCACGATCGCTATATCAAAAATAATTATAGGAAATTTGCCCTCAATTAGTATCTTATATTTGTGTCCGCAATTCGTATGTTATCTTTTTAGATTTCGTCCGCAACTCACATGGTTTTTCTCACTTTGTCCGCAATTTGGAAACAATGATTATTATCAGGGCTAGGATTTATATGCAATACTCAATAGTATGTTTTTTTTGCAACTTCTGATTATTGATTTTGTCAGTATTGTCCACGAATCACCTCGTGATGAGATAAATAGTGGTATTTTTATTTTGCATGTTTTTGCATATTTTGGATAAAATGCATAATATTGCATATTATATTGAATAAAATGAATATTATTGCATATTTCCATTAGAAAAATGCGAAAAATGCATGTTTTATAGTATATTTCATAAAAATTGGTTTTTTTTTGTCAAACTTAAATTTTATTTTCATAAATACAATCCTATGGTACAATAGGTATGCGATAAAAGATTAAATAGTTTGACATTCATTTTCGAAAATTTAAAATAATATGTGGTCGTAGCATATGCAACACACGTAGTGAATGTGAATTATAAATTTTATTTCCAAATTATTTTATTTCATTTTTTTCACAATTATATTATATTATAAGACAAACAGCTAATCACTGATGTATTTCAACAAATAAATATTTTTTTTTGTAACTATATTTTTGTGTTTATCTTATAAAAATTTAAATGCATATTTTTACATATTTTGGTAAATAAAATGCATATTTTACCATTTTTATTGCATACAAATCCTAGCCCTGATTATTATCAATAAAAGGTCACAAAAAAAAAAAAAATGTGCAAAAAGATCAGAAAATTGAAATGCAACACATTTTCACAAAATGTATGTTATTGATAATTAAAAAATGAAACTCATTAATAATCGAAATATTTTTCACAAAACTTATGATATTAATAACTAAAATTGAAATGCAATACTTTAAATGCTTCAAAAAAAAAATTGTGCCTATGTATTTTTAATATTTTTCAACTGCTATTGTAACAATATATCAGGAGCTTTGCATTAAATGTTCACCCTTTTTTACCCAACAAATAATATTTTATTGATATTAATAGGAAAAAAACTAAAAAAGGTGCTCTGCTGTACTGTAGGTTAAAAGTGGGTCACTGTATAATGGATGGTATTAAATTTGAATTCAATGATATAATATCATTGTATAAGAAAAACGATTCTGAGCGGAGACGACAAGTCAGTCTAGCTATGAGACATATTAAATACATATTATCTATGGTATTAAAAAAAATTGACCTATAATAAATTCCAAATTAATCATATCACAATAGCCATTAGGTACATATAACTTGTTGTACATCAATAACAAACCGTGATACTATAATAAATATATAATAGTATACTTTATAAGTTTGAATAACCCACGAATAATATTTTACAACCACAACAAAATAACTAAAATTTTAATTTTAGGTTATTATTATATTTAATCAATTATCCTTATTTTTGAAGGAAATCTAAGAGTAAACATTCGTACGTATTTTCATTTTTTTTTTTATGGTAATGAAGTTAAGAACCGTTATGTTAATAAGTAATAATTATCGGAAATTTCAGTTTTGGTTTCGATTTCGTATACCGATTTCCATTTTTTTTGTTTTGGTTTTGGTTTTTTAACGATTCATACCGGTTTCTGAAATCTGTTTTGAAACAGATGAATATAATTTATTTTTCATATGTTTAATATTTTTTAATCAAATTATTAATATAAAAATTAACCACGCATAACCCTATTTGTATTTTTTTCTTTTTAGTTGATTTACGTCGTACGTAATATTTATGTTTTTATTGCATTGCGTAATAATAGTTGGTCATATAATATTATATCAATTACTTTTATTTTCACAATAATTGTCTTTCAAATTATTCAAGTCAAGATTCTGTTTAAATGAAAACTATCATTCCCGTAGCAGTGGTGGATCTAGGATTTTCTCATGGGGGGATATAAAATATTTTCATTCATAATATGTATAGGTATATAAGCTTTATTCTTTACTAAATTTACAGAAATAGATTTAATTTTCTTGATGACTCAATGATGACAAGTACCCACGAACAATATTATACAATCACAACTAATAACAAAATAACTAAAATAGTTATTGGAGGTTTTTAATACGCAATTTCGTCCAAATTTGAACTTAAAATGGCCATAAAAATAAACTGTGTTTATGTATTTTTTAGATTTTTAACAAAAATAACTACTTACGTGGAATCTTGTTTTAAATTTTAAATCCTTAGATATAAAATTTAAACATTTTATATATTTTTAACTACAAAATAATTATTCAAATTTAAATTTGTTAAATTTTGTCAAAATTCGATCTTTAAATGCTTATAACAAAAAGTATGCAAATTTATTTTTAAAATTATTCAACTGCTATTATAACAATACATCAGGAGCCTTGTATTTAATTTTTACACTTTTTGGCCCAACAGATAAAGCTTTATTGATATTCATAGAAAAAAAAATTAAGAAAATTGAAATAAGAAAATGTCCGTAAACAGCTCAAAACAAGTCAAAATATTTTGAAAATTTTATGAAGTATAAGAATTGATGAAATAAACAAATTTCACTGAAATTTTCATGTATCTACAGTTATTCGTTTTTGAATTACAACAAAATAAGAAAATCGCTAGGTACATGAAAAATTGAGTAACTATCCAATGTTGCAAAAAATTTGAATTTTAAACGCTTATAAAAATTTAATTTGACTTTCTTATAGACATTTTTTTTTTTTAGAAAATATAGATAATCTTATAAGGAATCTTGTATTACATATTAAAATCATAGATTTAAAAAGAACAATTTTTATGAATTCTTAACTCAAAATAATTTGTTAATTTTCGTGATTTTTCCATATTTTTCTAATTTTTGAACTTTAAATGCTTATAAAAAAAAACTGTGACTAACGATTTTAATCATTTTTTTTTAACCTACGGCCCACCGGGGGGATCTATCCCCCATATCCCTCCGATGTTTATCCGCCACTGTAACGTAGTACTTTTGTCATTATTTTTAACTATTTCATTTCAAATTGTGATAGTAAAATCGTAGGACTTTATATTGTTTATTTTAAGAATGATTTTTTTCAATCCATATAATACAAATAGCCTATAACGACTAACTATTCAGATTATACGCCCAACTTATTATAATGATTCGCAGTAACTTATTAATAATTATTATAACTTTTTCTAGTTAATCTTAGTACGTATATTTTATTAAAATGTAATACTTTATTATTAAGATTATAATATAAGGTATAATATTAATTATTTTGTCCATTAGCTTCAATTGATATTCGTAGATAAATATAGATATTAAAGTTCAGAAACATTAGAGAACATGTTGTTCATTAAGTTTTAATTGAATTACTAGAAGTTGTTTTCCAAAGATGAAACGTTCAAAATGAAAGTTTCAATAACTATAGTATTCTTTATTCTTCTGTATTCGAATAAAAACTAAGGTGGATTCTATAGTCTGAAAATTAAATACCTGCAGGCATACGAAATAATAAGTTTTTTTTAAAATATATACTCATAATTAATATTATGTACATATTAGCTGTTAAAGTTTGTTGGAGCGTAAACACTAATAATTAATAACAAAATTACTATACAACATTTTATATTAATATTTTAATTTAATTAACACAATAGTACAAGTTCACGTGTAAGCATGGTGCTAGCGACTACTAAGAAAAAAAACAAAATTATAACCTATAAACTGTTTATCAGCTTATCACAAAATAATCAAAATCTGTGTTATCACAACATCTCCCTTTTACATAAAAAAAAAATTATTAGTATCTTAATAATTTATAGTTTAACAACTTTTACAAATAATAATATAGTTAATAGTAAATGATAGTTTAACATTAATTTTTTTTTTTTTAAATACAAATAATAATATAGTTATTAGTAAATGATAGTTTAACATTAATTTTTTTTTTTTTTTTAAATACAAATAATAATATAGTTAATAGTAAATATTTTTAAATACAATTGATACAGTTCATAGTAAATGATAGTTTAACATTAATTTTTTTTTTTTTTAAATACAAATAATAATATTTTAATCATCAATGCCTAGTCTAATAGGTTTTTTAACTACCCTTCCTTTATGGGTTTTAAAATTAATATTTGTACCAACCTCGCTCTCTTGTTTCTCAACTTTCTCTACCTCTTTTTTATCCAAATCATCACTAACTATAACTTCGTCATCACTTTCATTCAAATCCAAGTCATAGCTACTCACTTTTCTCATAAATATTGTATTTCTCCTCAGTATCTTTCCCTTTTCATCTTTCACTAAGTAAGATCTTGGCCAACTCGTTTTACTCAGAACAACAGCTTTGGACCATTGTTTTGTAAATTTATTTTGTAACATAATTTGCTCATTTGGTTTAAATTCTTTTTCAACATATGTAGCAGTTTTATCGTACCAGTCTTTTTGTTTTAGCTTTTGTATTTTATTCTCTTCAGAACAGTCTACCACAGTTGGACATAAGATTTTTTTATTTATACTATTAGTTTTTGACCTTAAAACTCTACTTTGTAGCATTTGTGCCGGAGACCACGTTAACCCTGCTACAGGAGCATTTCTATAATGGAGTAAATACAAAGATAAATCTTTATTTTCACTTTTAGCTTTCATTATTATTTTTTTAGCTATTCCTACTGCCTTTTCTGCAAAACCATTACTCTGGGGGTAATTTGGGCTTGATATTGTTACAGTAAAATGCCATTCCTTAGCAAAGTTTTTGAACTCTCTGCTTCCACAAGGGTTGTTATCACATACCACTTCCTCTGTGTTGGGTACACAGTCGGCATATCAAATTTCGCGCGGTCGTGGTTGATACGCGTATGTCGCAATGTTGTCACCCTGCCGCCCCGCCGCCGAGTAGTGTGGCAGCCCATGTGGCAGCGAACTTTGTACCCCCGGAGAGGGGACGGTATCGTTGCGGTATAGTCGCTGGTGGCTGTACCCGCCGCCATATTGTCGTCGTTTTGGAGCCGTCTAGGCGATCGGTCATGTTTTTGAGTCGTCGTGCACATCCGCATTGTTTTACCGTCGCGAACCGGTGCTCCGTCGCCGTCATTACCGTCTTGTTCCGAGCCGTCGATGCTCTCGTGTTGCACCGTGCGTCGTCCCCACGATTTTTGTATCGTCTCGACCTCTCGTGTCGCGATACGGTTGTTTTTGTTTTTTTTCGTCGCCCGTCCGATTCTCGCTGTGCGACCCCGACCGCGTGTTACCCTCGTTACCCACGTGTTTGTCGTTCGAGCCGCCCGTGCTCTTTGTCATGTCACGCCGTGCGTAGTGTCGACATTTTGGATTGCTCGACCGCCTGTGTCGTGATCCAACACAACTTTGTGTATTTTCGTCGCTCGCCCGACTCGCAGTGCGTTTCGAGCCCTGCTCGACTCTCACCCACGTGTTCCGCCCGCCCGTCCTACGCAGTGCGAACCGTGTTTTAAGTAACTTGTTGTCGTTTGTGCCGCGTCCCTACGCCGCGACAATTGATGTTTTTCGCGTGACCGTTTCGAAGTCTCCCCTTGAGCAGAAAAAACGAGTTCGTGTCCGCGTCGCCCAATATTTGGTTTATACATCCGCTTCAACCGTTCGACCACCGGTCGTACGTTCGCAGTGTCGTCGACCTATTCGTCGACGTCGACGAGAGTGCAAAGTGCCGCCAGCCCCGATTGCCGCCCGCAGCTACTACAACGTCGCATTGGGTCAACTGGAGCGTCATCGTCGTGGTATCATCACCCGTCGTTATCACTTATCAGGTCGTACACACGTGATTTATTTGTCAACAAACATCACCTTTGTATTTGTAATTTGTATTAATTTTTTTTTTTCTCTTGATTTATTGTTTACGCGATCGTTTGTGATCGCGCACTACTGTTACCTACTAACCCTAGCTTAAGTAACGTTTACTGCAGGACATTACAATAAATTGTTCTGTACACCTTATAGCAAAAAAAACATTGTTGTCTGTTAGAGTTACCTTATACTCATCATCATATTATTTTCAACCAGCTTCCTATTCATCATATTCTAAATACAGTCCACTTTTTATCCCTTCCCACAGGGCTATCGACCTAGGACGTAAGTATCGTCAAACAGAACGGGTTGCGTGTCGGCCGCCGTCCGTGCGCGCACTCACACACACGCACACTCGTCACCGGCTTTACGTGTGCAGCCATCATCCGCACATTGTTTGGTCCTTCGGGCCGGATCTTTCTGTGCGACTACTTCGTCACAATCACACGTCAATTTTGTAATTTCACCTGATCTCGTATTTCTGTCGTCATGGCACCGAAAAAAGAAGAAACTGCTGAAAACGCTCTCGCTCGAGCACGTGTCAAACGCGACAACGTTTTAAACTCCATCAAAGGTATTCACGTCACAGCTTTAGCCGCACGCTCTGATGCCGATCGAGTGCCGTCGTTAATTATTCACGCCGAAGATTTAAATCAATATGTCGAACAATTTCAACGTCAACAAGACGTTATAATTAACGCGTTAATCGATCTTGACCGTGTGGCCGAGTTTGATCAGGATGATCGTCCAATGATCGCATCTATGGAGAGTATGCGTCTCGAAATTAAAACTGTCGTCGCGAGTGTGTCCGAAATAAAATCGTCGTCTTCGTCGTCTATCGCGTCCGCGCCTCAACAATTCGTTCCGTTACCAAAAATTCAGCTGCCCAGCTTCGACGGTAATCTATTGGAGTGGCGATCGTTCCGCGATATTTACGTTTCTCTCGTACATGACAACACCGGCATTGGCGATGCCGAACGGTTTCACTATCTAATGTCGTGTTTATCGGGCGACGCTCTCGCTGTTGTCAAGTCATTTCCGTTATCCGCGAATAATTATGTCCTCGCGTGGGAAGCATTGTCCGTTCGGTTTGATAATAAGCGCCTGCTAGCGTCGGCACACTTAGATAAGTTATTTGCATTCAAACCTATTGCACATCAGTCGCTACCAGCCTTGACGTCGTTTATCAACACGTTCAAAGAAAATGTAGCCATAATTAAAGCGCTCGGTGTCAACGACCTGTCAAGCTTTTTATTATTTCACATGGGATCCCGAGTTCTCGATCCGACGACGATTCAATTATTCGAATCCAACGCGTCGAATTCGACAATTCCGACGTTCGACGAGCTACTCAGTTTTGTACAACAACGCTGTCGAGTATTAGAGAACATAAAAAATTCCAGTAAATCTGATATTTCAACGAAACCACACGAAAAATATAATACGCGTAATAAAACTGTTATATCGAAAAAATCAGTGTTTGCCGCCACCACATCTACATCGGTCAAGTCTAAGTCACGAGGTTGTTTGTCATGCGATAAGGCTGACCATAGTATTTACCGTTGTCCAAAGTTCAACGATATGACAGTTGAAAGGCGCCGCGAATTCGTAGCGGCTAGAAAATTATGTTTTTCATGTATGAGTCAGTCTCATATGCTCAACGCGTGTTCATCAACAGGGGTGTGCCGCTCGTGCAGTAGTAAGCGTCACCACTCCTTGCTACATCTTAATACCGATCAGTCATCGGCCGTGAACAAAACTAATCAGAGTACCAGCTCAGGTCCTAGTTCAGGTCCCTCCGCCGACAAGTCAAGTTCCTTTTCAGGTGCAGCATGCACCAACTCCACGGTCGTCCTCGGTACGGCCATAGTTCACATCAAGGACGCCTGGGACCAAATTCATTCCGTTCGAGTACTTCTCGACAGTGGGTCTCAAATTTCGGCCATCTCAAGCGACTGCTTCGCTCGGTTAGGACTATCGAAACGCCGTTTTAAATCCGACGTCGTAGGTCTCGCGCAAAGTCCAGTGAACCACGTGCAAGGTGTCACCAGGTGTCAATTTTCGTCGCGTTTTAAATCTGATTTGTTCCCGTCTGTTGAACTAGTTATTCTAAAACAAATTACCGGCGTCATGCCATCCACACGGTTGCCGACAACCGTGCGTCAACAATATCGACACCTCCGTCTCGCGGACGAGAACTTCGATATTCCGTCGTGCATCGACGTTTTATTCGGCGCCGATATTTTACCTAGTCTTATCCGCTCTCACGCGGGTGTGGAGCACCACTCGGGTTTACCATCGGCCCTCGACACCCAGCTCGGATGGATAATTTTTGGTTCGTTTTCTACTCCGAGCAAGTCACCCCCAGTCACGCTGACCACCGCGATCGCTCCGCCGTCAATTGGAGATCTATTACAACAATTTTGGTTGGTCGAAGAACCCACCGCACCTACGTCACCCACCACGGAAGATCAGTGGTGTGAAGAATATTTTACCAAATCTACTTCGCGGGATTCCACCGGTCGATTCTGTGTCGCTCTACCATTTCGTCATTTGTTTGCGAGCACAGCTCAACAACAAGACACACCGCGTCACGGTCTCGGCGACTCGCGCTCCATCGCGTTGAAACGGTTTTATAACCTAGAAAAACGGTTGGCTAAGGACTCCGAATTGTATGCTGCTTATCGTAAATTCATGTCCACCTACCAAACACTAGGACACATGGTACCGGCTCCGGAACCCGGTAAATATTTTATTCCGCACCACGCCGTGCTCAAGGCTGACGGTGACATGTCCAAAATTCGCGTCGTGTTCGATGCTTCGTCCGCCTCGTCCTCCGGTCGCTCATTAAACGATGTATTGTGCACCGGACCCAAACTTCAAATTGATTTACGCGACATTTTACTTCGTTGCCGTATGCACAGGTACATTTTGTCCGCCGACATCGTCAAAATGTATCGGCAAATTTTAATCCGTCAAAAAGACCGGACTTTTCAACATATATTCTGGCGCGATTCACCCACTGACGACCTCGTCGAATTCCAATTGTGTACTGTAACGTACGGTCTCAACTGCGCGCCGTATCTCGCCATTCGCTGTCTCCACGAACTTGACCGGCAAGACGGTCATCGTTTTCCACTTGCTAAAGACGTCCTTACTAGAGCTGCTTATGTCGACGACATCGTTATCGGAGCTGACACCCAAGAGCTCTTACTACGTCGGAAGGAAGACGTTGTCGGTCTACTACGCAACGGTGCCTGTATGTTGAGCAAGTGGACTAGCAACAGTACCACCGTTCTCGAGTCCGTTTCTCCCGATGACCGTGTACTCTCTATATCGTTCGATCCGCGCGAAGAACACGCCGTAAAGGTCCTAGGCCTGCATTGGGACACGAAAACCGACAAGTTTGCCTATCATACCCGGCTTGATCAAATTTCTTTGACGAAACGTCAGGTGTTGTCCGTCATTGCGCGCTTGTTCGACCCTATTGGCGCCCTGGGCCCTATGCTGCTGTGGGCAAAATATTTTATGCAACTATTATGGTGCAACAAACTCGGATGGGACGACCTGATGTCCCCCGAACTGCAATCTATGTGGCAACAATTTTGCACTGAGCTTCCGCTCGTATTCGACCTGAACCTCCCACGTCACATCGACGTCATCTGTCATCAGGACATTCAACTATTGGGCTTCGCGGACGCATCGATAAAAGGGTATGCGGCCGTCGTGTATCTACGTCTCGTCAACACCGCCGGTGACATCTCCGTTAAATTCATCACTTGTAAAACCAAGGTCGCCCCTCTGAAGAGTGCCGCCGTCGACGAGTCGCTTTCCATACCTCGCTTGGAATTATGCGGGGCCCTGCTGTTGGCCCAGACACTTCATCACGTGCAATCTGTGCTGTCCACCGAAGTGTCTATATCTCGTCTGCGTGCGTGGTCGGATTCGTCAGTTGTTTTATCGTGGTTGACCACAGACCAAAAACAATTCAAAATTTTTGTGACCAATCGGGTCGCCAAAATACGTCAGCTACTACCGGATTGCGTATGGAGCTACGTATCAACGCTCGACAATCCCGCGGATCCCGCCTCTCGTGGACTCATGCCGAAATTAATGTTGTCCTCGTCTATTTATTGGGACGGTCCGGAGTTCCTACGAATTCCTGAAGACCAATGGCCACCGTCTAGATTTATTCCGCTCGCTCCGGAGCAGCTGCCGGACACTCGGCCTAACGTCGTCGCAACGTTGGCCGTCAACGTCCATCCGTCTTCGTTGGATTTCATCGGTAAATTTTCGTCGCTCGAAAAAATGTTACGAGTATTGTCTTACGTTTCTCGTTTTTTATCTCATCGTCTACGACGGCAACCGATCCGTGTCGGTCCTATCACGTTTTCCGAGCGAGAAAGGTCCTTGTCGATTGCCGTACAGCGGACACAACAGTATTACTTTTCGGATCTGGTTAAAACGTTAAAAAATAAGTCTACGATCACCCCCCCATCTTTGGCACAATTAGCACCATATATCGACGACAACAACATTGTACGAGTGGGAGGTCGCCTGCGTTTTTCCGACGCCAGCTACGACGCGAAGCATCCGATTCTGTTACCGCGATCCTCGCACCTCACCGACCTGGTCATTCGACACTACCACTTGTCCTTTCTGCACGGCGGATCAAAGTTGGTACTATCAATGTTGAATCAAAAATACTGGATACTGTCTGGTCGCGCTGCAGTTCGACGTGTCATTTTCTCGTGCGTTCCGTGCACACGCCATAAGGCTGTCCGCCCTCAACCGTTGATGGCTGATCTACCATCTTACCGGGTTCAACCTCATCGTCCGTTTTCCCACGTCGGTATGGACTACGGAGGGCCGTTCCTCGTTAAGGAACACCGTCGTCGGAATGCACATTCGGTCAAGGTCTACCTCGCCTTATTTATTTGTATGTCCGTCAAGGCGGTCCACCTCGAAATCGTGTCCGATCTCAGCACTGACGCCTTCCTCGCGGCTTTGGACCGGTTCGTCGCCCGCCGTGGGATTCCGTCCAACCTCTACTCGGACTGTGGCACAAATTACGTCGGCGCCGCCCGTCAATTAAAATTGTTATTTCGCGACGCCAAGGCCCAAGACCGTCTCTCGACGCACCTCAACTGCACATGGCATTTCAACCCGCCTGCTGCGCCGCATTTCGGTGGCATTTGGGAAGCCGGCATCAAGAGCGTCAAATTTCACCTCAAACATGTCATCGGTCAGCAGGTGTTGACATACGAAGAATTCTATACGTTGACCACTCGCATCGAGGGCATTCTGAATTCCCGACCGATTACACCGAGTTCATCCGACCCGCACGACCTAAATGCGTTGACGCCGGGACATTTTTTGATCGGACAGCCGATCCACGCCGTGCCTGAACCTGACACCACCGAAGTCAAAATCAACCGTTTGAATCGTTGGCAGCTCATTCGGCAATGTCATCAGTCCTATTGGAAACGGTGGTCACGCGAATACCTATCCACGCTGCAAGGTCGACAAAAATGGTGTAAAGCGTCCCCGAACCTCGCCGTCGGCGACATGGTCATCGTCGAAGCCCCGTCTCGACCACCTACCGAGTGGCGTCTCGGCCGCGTCACAGAGGTCCATCCAGGACCAGATGATGTCGTTCGTGTCGTGTCCGTGCGCACTCAGGACGGTATCTACAAGCGCCCGGTCGTGAAACTCGTGCGTTTACCGGTCGAGCCCTGATCCCTGTCCTCATGTCCAATGTCCTCATTATGTAAAAATATTTTAATTATTTTTTTCTTTTTTTTTTTTTTTTTGAGCATCAGTCTCATTCATGTAAATTATGTATTTAGTCTAGTGATGATTTATTTATGTATGATTATTATACCACCTATGTATATATGTACCTATAGCCTCGTATTGTTGTAATGTGTACGATCTGGACTTCAACGTCCATATTCCTGTCAGATGAGTTCTTGAAAGACGCCTGGGTCTTTCAACGCGGGGAGGAAATGTTGGGTACACAGTCGGCATATCAAATTTCGCGCGGTCGTGGTTGATACGCGTATGTCGCAATGTTGTCACCCTGCCGCCCCGCCGCCGAGTAGTGTGGCAGCCCATGTGGCAGCGAACTTTGTACCCCCGGAGAGGGGACGGTATCGTTGCGGTATAGTCGCTGGTGGCTGTACCCGCCGCCATATTGTCGTCGTTTTGGAGCCGTCTAGGCGATCGGTCATGTTTTTGAGTCGTCGTGCACATCCGCATTGTTTTACCGTCGCGAACCGGTGCTCCGTCGCCGTCATTACCGTCTTGTTCCGAGCCGTCGATGCTCTCGTGTTGCACCGTGCGTCGTCCCCACGATTTTTGTATCGTCTCGACCTCTCGTGTCGCGATACGGTTGTTTTGTTTTTTTCGTCGCCCGTCCGATTCTCGCTGTGCGACCCCGACCGCGTGTTACCCTCGTTACCCACGTGTTTGTCGTTCGAGCCGCCCGTGCTCTTTGTCATGTCACGCCGTGCGTAGTGTCGACATTTTGGATTGCTCGACCGCCTGTGTCGTGATCCAACACAACTTTGTGTATTTTCGTCGCTCGCCCGACTCGCAGTGCGTTTCGAGCCCTGCTCGACTCTCACCCACGTGTTCCGCCCGCCCGTCCTACGCAGTGCGAACCGTGTTTTAAGTAACTTGTTGTCGTTTGTGCCGCGTCCCTACGCCGCGACAATTGATGTTTTTCGCGTGACCGTTTCGAAGTCTCCCCTTGAGCAGAAAAAACGAGTTCGTGTCCGCGTCGCCCAATATTTGGTTTATACATCCGCTTCAACCGTTCGACCACCGGTCGTACGTTCGCAGTGTCGTCGACCTATTCGTCGACGTCGACGAGAGTGCAAAGTGCCGCCAGCCCCGATTGCCGCCCGCAGCTACTACAACGTCGCATTGGGTCAACTGGAGCGTCATCGTCGTGGTATCATCACCCGTCGTTATCACTTATCAGGTCGTACACACGTGATTTATTTGTCAACAAACATCACCTTTGTATTTGTAATTTGTATTAATTTTTTTTTTTCTCTTGATTTATTGTTTACGCGATCGTTTGTGATCGCGCACTACTGTTACCTACTAACCCTAGCTTAAGTAACGTTTACTGCAGGACATTACAATAAATTGTTCTGTACACCTTATAGCAAAAAAAACATTGTTGTCTGTTAGAGTTACCTTATACTCATCATCATATTATTTTCAACCAGCTTCCTATTCATCATATTCTAAATACAGTCCACTTTTTATCCCTTCCCACAGGGCTATCGACCTAGGACGTAAGTATCGTCAAACAGAACGGGTTGCGTGTCGGCCGCCGTCCGTGCGCGCACTCACACACACGCACACTCGTCACCGGCTTTACGTGTGCAGCCATCATCCGCACACTCTGGTATTCCAAACTGACTAAATAATATTTTTAATAATTGTATGACTGTCTCACTAGTTTTATTTCTTATACTTAAGACTTCTAGCCACCTTGAATAATAGTCCATAACCACTAGGTAATTGGAACGCTCTACCTCTGCTATGTCTATTCCAATTTTTTGAAATGGTAACTCAGGGATTTTATGTTGTAGTAGTGGCTCTTTTATCTTACTAATACTAAACTTTCTACATATTTCACATTTCTCAATGAAATTTTTTATGTCTGAGGTCATTCCTGGCCAGTAAAAAATTTGTTTACTTTTTTTTAGCGTTTTTGTGATTCCTAAGTGTGTTTCATGCAATTTTTTAATTACATAACTTCTTAATACTTTGGGAACAATTATTCTGTTTCCAAAGTAAATTATTTCACTTTCTTTAATTAATTCATTTTTAATTTTAAAATAATGTTTTATCTCCCCACATTCAATCATTTTGTTTGGCCAACCAGTATCTAAATATTTTAGTACCTTACTTAAATGTTCATCCTTATTTGTTTCATTTCTAAACTGTTCTATTCTATCATTTTTAAATTGTATTTCAACCTCATTAATTGCATGTACTACATCATTTAAATTTTCTTCAGTGATCTCAACTCTTTGTATATAGTTTCTGCTGAGCAAATCTGCTATATACATATGTTTACCAGGACAATATTTAACATCTGTATTATATATCAATAGTTTAAGTCTCATTCTTTTCAGTCTATTATTGGGTATTTTGTTTATTTCTTTTTTCATTACTGATATTAGTGGTTGATGATCAGTGAATATTTCAACTATGCTTTGCCCATATATTAATTTGTGAAATTTTTTACACGCAAACACTATACCTAACATTTCTTTTTCTACTTGAGCATACATCTGTTCTGTGTCGGTCATACATCTTGACGCATAGTATACAGGTCTGTTATTTTGTAGCAGACAACACCCTAATGCCTTTTCTGATGCATCACACTGTATGGTAAAATTTTCATTCACATTATAATTACTAAGAGTTGTCAGATCAGTTAGAACATTTTTTAATTTATTAAAAGCACTGTCACAATTTATAGTCCATGACCACACAACATCTTTCCTCAATAATCCTCTAAGTGGTTCAATTAATTCAGACATATTTGGTATAAATATTCGAAGGTAATTAACCATTCCTAGAAATGACTGAAGCTGTTTAGTATTTTGTGGTATTTTTAATTCTATAACAGACTTGACTCTTTCAGGGTCTGGAGCTATTCCATGTTCACTAAATATCATTCCCAAAAACCGCACTTCACTTTTTTCATACTGCAACTTTTTCAAGTTAAACTTAATGTTTAATTTCCTGGCCTGTTTCACTACCTGTTTTAATGTTTCATCATGTTCCTGTTGTGTCTCTCCACTAATAAGTATATCATCAAAATATACACAGACATTTTTGATACCTCCAAAATATTTTGAAGTTAATTGTTGGAATATTTCTGGTGCGTTAGCTAATCCAAATGGTAACCTCCTAAATTGGTATGAGCCAAATGGTGTACTGAAAGCACAAAGTTTCATTGATTCACTTTCTAGCTCACACTGATAAAACCCGTCCTTTAAATCACATAATGTAAAATATTTTTTGTTTATTAATTTATTTCTTACTTCATCGATAGTAGGAATTTGTATCATTTCACGTACTATATACTTATTTAATGTCCTAGGATCCAGACACAATCTTAGCGACTTGTCTGGCTTTTCTATGACGACCAAAGGATGTTGCCACTCGCTGGGCTCCTCACACTTTTCGATAATATTTTGAACACATAACCTCTCAATTAATTCCTTTAATCTTTTTATTAATTTTATAGGGATTCTCCTAGGATGATTTATTACAGGTATACTATTTTCTTTAATTTTAATTTTTATTTTATCTGGAAATTTTCCAACTCCAGTGAATATATCAAGATTCTCTTTGACAAAACGTTCTTTTTTATATTCTATTTCTACTTCACATACTTCATTAAACTTGTATTTTAAAGTCTTACAGTCCTTAAAACCAAGTATTGGCATTCCTTCATAATTAACAATTTCAAAAACAACATTTGCCTTACATTTATCATTTTCAATTTGAACATTAATTTTGCCCTGCGACTTCATAGTGAACCCACCAAATGTCTTAATAACAACTTCACTTGTTTCCAATTGTACTGATTTAATTTTTTTGTACATTTTTATTGGCATCACATTTAATTGTGCTCCTGTGTCCAATTTTATTTCTACATTTAATTCATTTATTTTTACATTATCTGTCCATGTGTTACTTGTACCTATTTCAACCTCATCCAAGCATAAAAACTCATAGACTTCTTTTTCTTTTTCTACAATGTTAACTCCATTGTTTTCACTTTTTTCATATTTTTTACTTTCATTTTTTCCTTTATTCTTACACATTAACGCAAAATGATTTTTATTACCACATGTGTTACAAATTTTGTTATAAGCCGGACATTCATTTATACCATGTACTCTACCACACTTATAGCAATTAAATTTATATGTTTTTACATTACCCTTTTCCTTAGACATTTTCCTTGAATGTTCTCTTCCAAATTGTTCCAATGTATTCTCCTGCTGCTGCTTCTTTCCCCGATAATTTGTTGAATTGAACTTGTTAAATTTTTTCTTCTCAATGACATCAATTTTGTTCTCACTCTCCTGCACCAGTAACTTTTTATTAATTTCAGCTTGCTCAGTTGCTTGACAATGCCGCACAACTTTATCGAGGTTCAAATCTTCACGAAGTAATTTTCCTTGAAGGTCTTTGTCACTAATGCCGAGAACAATCTGCGTTCGCAACAATTTCTCTTCAGTTACTCCAAAGTCACAATTTTTTATGAGATCTCTGAGGTCAGCATAAAATTTGTCAAATGTTTCACTTGAGTCCTGTTTTCTCATGAAAAATTTGTAATGTTCCATTACTTCGTTCCGCTTTGGTGTACAGTACCCTTCTAATTTTTCGAAGATAATATTAACAGTTTCAACTTTTGGATCAATGTTAAATGTTCTATAAATCTTAACGCCGTCACTTCCAATTAGATTTAGTAAACGTGCTACCTGTACTTTTTCCGGTTTTGAGGTTGTTTCCGTTGCTTCAAAAAATACCATGACTTCCTCTTTGAATAATTTAAAATTTTCAGCAACATTTCCTGTTAGTTTCAAACAGTCTGGTTTGTTGAATTCCATAATTGACGATCGTATATGAATTGTGGAACACTTTAGTTCACTTCGATTTTATTTTTTTTTATCTTATTTAATCGTAAAAATCACATGAAGTTCGCGACTGCGCCATGTTTTATTAAGTTTGTTGGAGCGTAAACACTAATAATTAATAACAAAATTACTATACAACATTTTATATTAATATTTTAATTTAATTAACACAATAGTACAAGTTCACGTGTAAGCATGGTGCTAGCGACTGCTAAGAAAAAAAACAAAATTATAACCTATAAACTGTTTATCAGCTTATCACAAAATAATCAAAATCTGTGTTATCACAACATTAGCTAATATAACATAGGTGGACAGTATTTTATAAACATTTTCCTCTATAATTTTCATATTATATCTAATTGTATTATTAACAACTTTGACAATATAATATATATATATTTTTTGCAGACCGCGTTGGTATGTATATCATACGAGTATTGTTATTTTTTTACTTTCTTTTTTCCTGAAGTGACCAGATGACAAAACCCAAAATTGTTGTCAACTTAATAATACCTATATTCAGTTTCAAATTGATGTCCGTACAAAAACTGTTCTTGAATAATATTTGAGTGTTTTATATATATCACCGCCATCTTGTGAAAAGATAGAACAAACAGTGCTTGTAGCTGGTTTAGGTTCTTATTTATTTTGAAACACATTTATATCATTAAAATTCCAAATGTTAAGCAATTAAAATTCAAACATGTGTTTTAACTCAACAGGTACTGACATTTATCACAGTATAGGGTATTGAAGGCTTTTATTAATTGTTATAGACATTTGATTCATTGATTTTAATTAACATCGTAAGATTTAAGGGTAAATAATTTTCCTTTGAATAATTACATTATTCATATATTGTATATTTGTATATTGTATATCATATAGTATATATTGTATATAAACAGGGATGGGCAAGATATTCATAAATCAGTATACTATAGATACTTGGATTTTGAGTATCGAGATACTAGATACTCGATACTCGATACACGATACATTTGAAAAAATGCCTATAATGCATAAGATTTTTTTTTAATTTTATTTAATTTATACACAATTAGGTAGGTTGTGAATTTAGACAAATGCATTTAACTTGAAAATTCCAAATATTAGTTAAGTAGAAATATATTATAATAAGTCAATCGTTGGATTAAATAAATAAATAATAATAAAAATAAATTATACATATATACATAATATCATTATAGATTTTAAAGACATCTGTTTGTCCATAGTACCTACCTATTGTGAACTTTAAAATAAAAAACTTATTACATGGAAAAAGAACATTTTCGTTCAATATTTTTAATTTGACAGTTTTAACAACTGTTTCTGACAGGTATGTCTCAAGTCCATCACTCCATATTGATTTTGAAGCTATGATAACTGGCAGTGGCGTCCGCAGGATTTTTCAATGGGGGGGGGGCTTGAAAATTAGTTACAAATTTATTTTTATTTTGTCTAGTCTAATAATTTCAGACGTTTATTTGAGATATTTTAAAATGTTTGTAACTTTTCAACTTTTATGGTAGAAAAAATGCTCTTATCATAACCTTCGATGCCCAGTGTATGTTTTTGGAAGCAAATTGGATCTAGTTGGTACTTTTAGGAGGTCGAAATTGAATCTGCTCAGTGCTTTTAAAAGTACCTAATTGGAGAAAAAAAAAAGGAAAACTTATTTAAATTGTTTTTTAACAATAGCTTGGTTTGGTTATACCATCCTCACTTGGATTGTATTTGATTCATTACATTTTTTTTTTATAAATGTCAATAAAAAATTATTTATCCTGTCAAAAAGCTTAAAAATGTAATACGTAAGTATTTTTATTATAGCTAAACTATTAACGATACATATACATTTAAAGTTCAAAACAATTTAACCACAGTTAATTTGTAGTTCAAAACTTATAAAATATAAAATATGTATAGCTAAGGCTAGACAATTTAATACAAGGTCTTTCATACAAGTAGGTAGTTCAATCTTTTACCGAAAAATTACAGATAATTTATGAAAATTGGTATGCAAATACAATGTTTTTTCAAAAATGAATTCATTCTGGTAAGACATAAATGAAATTTACGTCTTGCTTACTATAGTTGACCGTTTAAACTTGATTAATATATTTTTTTTAAAGTAATAATAATACGAGCAATGGGGGGGCTTCAGCCCGTTAGCCCCCCCCCCCTGCGGACGCCACTGATAACTGGTATTAATCTTGGAAGCTGGTGGGGTTATCAATACATTTTTTTATTTTAAAATGCATAAAATAAATATTCACTAGAGTTATCACCCCATTGACAAACAAAGAAACTAATGAAGTGTGACGTTCACATATTCAAAATATACTTATATGCTATATATTTATAAATGTATAACTTATGTGAATGTCTTTTTAAAGAAAACACATTTTCATTATTCCATATAAGTAATTATTCAGAAGTTTAGAATGATATTATCAGCAGTTGCACGTGTCTACTTATTATTGTTTTGACTTTTCAGATATTTAATAACTATCAGAACGACTGTTTTTCCAATTAAATATAGATTTTAATTTAATCATGAAACATAAACATGTCAATAATAGTATAATCTATTTTACTATGATTGCATTAATTGAACATTTTAATTTACAGGAAAAGTTGCAAGTACGAAATTTTATAATTTATTATTTGTTAATATGTAATAAGTACATAACAATGTTATTTTGTATGGATATTTTCTTTTAAATGTGTAGATTCTGATTAGAGCTTTAATATGATTGCCGAATGTTTGTGATATTATCAAGATCATACAAATTTGAACTTAAAAAAATTATAAAACAATTCAAAGAAAAATATAGAGAAATGTAGTTGTCATTTGTGACTTCGTCATATTTAGATGTTTATTAGTTTGATTACGGTAACTGTCAAGGCCGTGCATTAACGAGTTAAAAAGTTGAAGCAATGTTATTTTTAAGTAAGTTAGGTACATAACAAGTTACTTTTTTATAACTTGCCAAGTTAACTTTTTTTCGATTTTATGCAGTAACATATGAGTTAACTAATTCTGTTGTCACGTTTATTAAATTGTTTTCTGAAACCACAGATTTTAAATATATTCCATTTTGTAATAAAATACTTAGTAGCTATATAATTTATCTACTATTACTTAGTATATTTGATGATATTATTGTGAATAAAGTAATTTAAATATTTACCTATTTGCGTAGTTACATTTTCATGCTTTTTACCCAACAAATAAAATTTTATTTGTGTCTATAGAAAAATAAACTAAAAAAATTGAAAACTGACAATAATGTCCGTATATAGCTCAAAAAGAGTCAAAATATTTTCAACATTTTATGGTGTATAGAAAATGAAAATAATATGTTCATTCAGTAAAAATTCCATGTATCTATAGTTATTCGTTTTTGAATAACAATAAAATAACAAAACCACTACATGAGAAATCGAGTGAATATCAAATATCGTAAACATATGAAATTCATACGCTCATAAAAATTTAATTTGATTTGCTTGAATACATTTTTTTTTTGATAAAGATAGACAAACTTATGAATAATCTTGTATTACATTTTCAAATCGTAGATTTAAAAAAAAAATATTTATGAATTTCTAACTCAAAATAGTTTTTAAATTTTCGTCATTTTTACATATTTTGTCAATATATTTCAACTTTAAATGTTTATAAAAAAAAATTGTGACTAAGGATTTTTAATTTTTTTCATCTTCCTTTGAAACAATTTACTATTAACCTTTTATTAAATTTTCAAGCTTTTTCAAATAACAAATAAAATTTTATTGATATTTATAGAAAAAAAAACTAAAAAAAATGGAAACTGAAAATGTCCTTAAACAGCTCAAAATAAGTAAAAATATATGGAAAATGTTATGATGTATAGAAAATTCTAATATAAACATTCAGTCAACATTTCATGTGCCTACAGACATTTGTTTAAGAGAAAGAGAAGAATTTTTTTAGTAAAAAATCCCGTTTTTCCTTAATTTTTCTTTTGTTTTCATGGTGCTTTTGGAAACTACCGGGAAATTTTTGAATATAAATTTGACCCCTTAAAGTACCAATTAGATTCACTTTCCCGTCAGAAATGATACTGTTGAAGAAAATCTAAGCATTTTTACTGTCCTAAAAGGTGATGACAAACACAAAAATAAGTAATAACCATAAAATAAAACAAAAACACAAATCATTGTAAAATCAATACATTCATCGTTTCACTCAGAATATAAAAAAATAATAATATTATGGTATCTGAAATATCAAATTTTGTTTATAAATATTTGGTATTATATTCTAATATGTCGTAATAAATTATATTATAATATTTATGTAAGCAATTAAAAAAATTCATATATTTTGTTGGATTTCATGATTTATTAAAGTTGTAGGTATAGGTAATAACTTTAATATTATTATATTATAAGTACTTATAGCATTTCGCTTTAATACATACTTTTATTTTAAACTGTATTACTTTTATTACATTAGGTACCATATTATTATATGTTAGTTTTAAACAAAGGTACCAAGGTATTATAATTAGTAATTTATTATGAAAAGAAGTAAGTGATTGAGTTAAGTTCCTTTTTATTTCTAATTAGTAATTACCTTGTGAAACTTACAAGTTAAAAAAAAACAAAGGTAACTTTCAACTTTGAACTTAGCTTACATTTTTCCTTACTAAGTCAATTTAACGAGTTAAACAAAATATTTGACTTGCCCGGCCTTGCAGGTGATTGTAAATATTTCCATTGCTTAGAAATCAAATCGTAAAATTCAGTCAAAAACAATAAGTTGTCAAATTATAAAAATAGTTTCCTTGTGAATATTTTTAGTTCATGATAATTCATCATAAACAATAAGTTATTATATTTTATAAATTAGGTATATTATTAACAATAAGTTATAACAGTATAATAATTCATTTTTCATGCAGGTTTAGGTAAAT